AATTTAGAAAATATTATATTTGTCCGTCTTTGATTGATGAGGAGATGAGAGAGAGGGAGTAGATGAAAAAGAAAGAGAGTGGATTGTCTGAAAAATAAAAATCTACCCCCCTAAAAAAACGTTTTCATTGTTTTTAAGAAAAATATTATCACGTGACCAACTTTTGAAAAATATTTTTCATGAAAAAAATGTCAATCAAACCAGTGGCAAATCTAGAAAATTTGTTCAGCTAAGGCGGTCGACAATTGTCAACCAGCAACGATCGTAATAGCGAGATTTTTTACACGAGATAGATGACAGAGAGATGATTACAAGAAGAATAATACAACAAATTACCATCCAAATCATAGTATTAAATCTAAATCACCTATCAATATATATAAACCACTAATCACCAATTTGATACAATCTTACAATTGAAAAATGCCACAATTGATTAAAAAACAGAATACACATAATCGAGCCCAACTCAAAACTCATAAATGATAAATTACAATTCATAATTCAATGCTAGTGCAACATAAATTATTATCCCAAATCACAAATTCACAGATTCACAAATCACAATTCTCATTTCAATGCCCAATTGTCAATTCACTCATAGAACATAAACTATGATTCTTAAGTAAGGATAATCATAACTCATAAATAAAAAATAACACCAAAACAAAAAGAGAGAGAGAGAGAGAGAGAGAGAGAGAGAGAGAGAGAGAGAGAGAGANAGAGACTCACGGGCTCAAGGTCATGGCGGTCATTTTTCCATAAAAATAGAGTCAACCAAACACACCCTTAATGATGAGCCTAGGAAATCGGAACATACCTCCATAGATCACAAGAGCTTGAAAGATGTAGTTAATTGAAAACGCAAAGAGTAATTAGCACATAACGTTCTTATCTTTCACTGTTATTGTGAAAAACGTTCATACCTTTCATTTTTTACCATTTTCACCATTCATTGCGCAAAAAAGTCATTTTATCAATTTTCTCAATTAAAAATTATGAAATGACGAAAATACCATTCACTTTAAATAAAACAAAAGAAAAAAGAAAAAAATTAATTGCAAACATAGTCCCAACTTTTTTGAAAATCGCAATTGAGTCCCAAATAAATTGTTAAAAGGGTAACTAGCACATAATGTTCCTACCTTTCACTATTATTACGAAAAAACATCCTTACCTTTTATTTTTTTGACATTTTCTCCATTAATTATAATTTGATAGCGCAAGCCATCATTTCTATCCATTTTAAAGAACAATTGTCCCAATTTTTTTGAAAATTGCAAACGAGTCCCAAATAAATTATTAAAGAATTAAAAATTAAGAAAATATATTTTTATTTAAATATGAGGATATATTCATTATTTCACAGTTATTTATTGGGAAATTGAATGAAAATGGATAGAAATGATGGTCTGCGCCATCAAAATATAATTAAGGGAGAATATGCCAAAAAAAAAAGGTTTGGATGTTTTTCGCAATAATAGTGAAAGGTAGAGACATTATGTGCTAATTACCCTTTTAATAATTTATTTGAGAGTCATTTGCACTTTTCAATAAAGTTGAGACCATGTTTGCAATTAGTTTCTTTCTTTTTTCTTTTGTTTTATTTAAATGAAAGAGTGTTTTCTTCATTTCACAATTTCTAATAAGAGTCAAAATGACCTTTTGTGCAATGAAATGTGGAAATAAGGGTGAAAATGTCAAAAAATAAAAGGTAAGAACATTTTCTACAATACAATGAAAGGTGGAGACGTTATGTGCTAATTACCCAAAGACAAATAAGCATTAGGAGATTTCGATTTTGCTAGTAGCTTATGTCAATTAAAACTGAGTTTAATTAGTTTAATTAAAATATTAGAGAACATTGTAATATGTGCAAAAGTGGCCAATAGTGGAGCAAAATGGTCTCCTAATGTTGATCAACGAAGGCCATGGATCAAAAGGATCTCCTAAAATGAGCCATATTGGATCATATTTTACCCTAGTAGTACGACTTTTGTGCTCTCCATATTTTCAATTGAAACATCGGCATACAAACAATTTTCACGGTAAGTGGTGAGATTAAGATAAAAGAAGTTCATGCATGCCACTTTAGTGCTACCATTATGTCACATCATATTATGTGTTGCATGCATCATATTTTGTTTAATGGACATCAATATTAATAATCGTAGTGCGACTTCTTTGAATTTGTGAATCAAGTTGGAAACAATCATCAAGTGTCAAGAATACTGATGGGTGACGGAAGTAGATGTTTGGTCCTACTACCCTAATTGTCTCTAGTATCATGGACATCTTGAGTATGTTGCCTCGTCAACTTGTCTCTTGCCTAGTGCCTAGTGGTTGTTGTTTGCCCGGAAGAGTCTGGCATGATTTGCACTTGTCAAAATATCAAGCAATCGAACAACTGCTGCATGACATCTAATAGATGAGTAACGCTATATATCTTTATTAAGGATGATCCTCGTATGATGTAGTACTAAATGTCTCATATTTAGTTTTATCATTTCATATCAACAGCCACAAAGATAGGTGATGATCTCTAATGGAGATACTCTTAATAGACAGTTCTCCCTCTTACACGTGTTTTAAAGGAAATTTAGCATAGATATCTCTACAATATCAATGGATACAAAATTTGTCACGTTTTGAAATGCTGTTCAAAAATGTCATTTTTTGGGTGCAAATTGTCCCAATTACCATTGGATACCTTTTTTAATGCATTTATTACTCAATTAATGCTTGAATTTGATGTTTAACTTGTTGATGAAGATACACATGAATCTACTTATTCTACAATGGAGATAATAAATTGTTAATAAAAAATTATTTCATATCCTTCCATACACCTTAAATACGCTCTCACTAGTTACTAAATGTCAAGACTTATAGTTTAAATGTTAATCTTGACATTTCGTAACTATCAGGATAAATATTGTAATTTTTCGTCTAATCAGTATGCACTTATTTGGTAAAATTTATTCGCAGATGCCTCATATATGCATGTAAAGCCCAATATATTAAATTTATATATAATGCTTACCATATCATTTGCTTAATTTCAAGTATGAGTGGTACTTAGAAATTCATCGTGTCGTATAGATGACGGTCTGTGTAAGTAAATGATGAAAGAAGTGGCGAGAGAACACTTCAACCGTGGTTCCAAATAATATCACTTTAGCAGGACTTATCCTACGTTGATGGAGAAATTTCGAATGCCTATCACGCAATGTTCAAGTTGTTTTAATGATTTATATGATTTTTTTTTGTAAATTTCAACGATAACATTCATTGTATGTGTAATGCTTGTCAATTCGTGAGTTAACTTTAGTTTGTTGTACTATTCTTACATTAGTTGTTCATCATTTGTAGTTGTAATCAACGAACATGTATGAATCACCAGCCTCGTTCAATTATATTCATTAGATTTAATTCAAAAAAAAAAAATTAACAATTACGTAATATAGGTAAATTCCACAATCAAGTTCATCATTAGTGGATGCGGGACAGTATAGATGCATTTCACAATGGTGTTCAAAAATGTCATTTTTTGGGTGCAAATTGTCCCAATTACCATTGGATACCTTTTTTAATGCATTTATTACTCAATTAATGCTTGAATTTGATGTTTAACTTGTTGATGAAGATACACATGAATCTACTTATTATACAATGGAGATAATAAATTTTTAACAAAAAATTATTTCATATCCTTCCATACACCTTAAATACGCTCTCACTAGTTACTAAATGTCAAGACTAATAGTTTAAATGTTAATCTTGACATTTCGTAACTATCAGGATAAATATTGTAATTTTTCGTCTAATCAGTATGCACTTATTTGGTAAAATTTATTCTCAGATGCCTCATATATGCATGTAAAGCCCAATATATTAAATTTATATATAATGCTTACCATATCATTTGCTTAATTTCAAGTATGAGTGATACTTAGAAATTCATCGTGTCGTATAGATGACGGTCTGTGTAAGTAAATGACGAAAGAAGTGGCGAGAGAACACTTCAATCGTAGTTCCAAATAATATCACTTTAGCAGGACTTATCCTACGTTGATGGAGAAATTTCGAATGCCTATCACGCAATGTTCAAGTTGTTTTAATGATTTATATGATTTTTTTGTAAATTTCAACGATAACATTCATTGTATGTGTAATGCTTGTCAATTCGTGATTTAACTTTAGTTTGTTGTACTATTCTTACATTAGTTGTTCATCATTTGTAGTTGTAATCAATGAATATGTATGAATCACCATCCTCATTCAATTTTATTCATTAGATTTAATTCAAAAAAAAAAAAATTAACATTTACGTAATATAGGTAAATTCCACAATCAAGTTCATCATTAGTGGATTCGGGACAGTATAGATGCATTTCACACAGGGTAATCAAATTAACTACAAAAATTTAACCTGAGTCACTTGATACACTTGGTTGAATATAGCTACTCTCAACCATTTTTACAATACACAAATAATACCAGTTACACAATCGAGCTATACATCCAACTAAAACAAGTTTGGCATTGGATCACAACTGTCGACAAACAAGAACCAACTACAAGAATTCCAGAACATAACTATCGAGATTGACATTTTATCTCGACAGATGGGTTCTACAAGAACTACATGTGAGCTCTTTAAACGCTAATATGAATAAGATGTTTGAATCTTCAAATTGAATCACATTGCATTAGAAAAATGAGACTTAACTTGATACAAACTCAAAATCATATTCACAACACAATACAACAAGAATTTAGTTTAACGATAACACCCCCAAAAGAAAGAAATCCTTTATAAAACTTCAAAACAAGTAAAATTGTCAAAATGATACAACCAATACTAAATTAAATTAAATAAAAATTAAAGAACAAAATAAAAATGAAAAATAATATACATAATAAAAATATTATTTAAAATTGTAAAAATTAAATAATTAATAAAATGTAAAAAAAGAGTCGGGCCAACTGTTAAACAAAATAAATGAAAAAAAAATTAAAGAACAAAATAAAAAGAAAATTAAATACATAATAAAAATAGTATTTAAAATTGTAAAAATTAAATAATTAATAAAATGTAAAAAAAACGTAAAACAGTTATGGGCCAACTGATTTAACAGTCAGTCCTTAACAGTCTGGGTCGACTGTTAAAAAAAAGTCTAGGCTGACTGTTAAAAGTCAGTCCAGATTGTTAAAAATAAAGTTGGGCCGACCGACTGTTAAAACAGTCAGCGACAACTGTAAATCGCTTGTGACGATCTCCAGCAATAAAATTGAAGCCCCTCTCCCCAAAACATCTCCAAAATCAGTCCACCAAATAGTCAACAAATAAGCTAAATAAATGTTAAATTCAAACTATGGATAATTGCAGCAGAAGCTTTAAACCTTTGAAATATTAGCAGACTTTCTCCCAAACCTTTGAATTGTTACAGTCGTCACCTTTGACCTTTCCAACAATTACATGTAAGACATTTTTGAATGGTTTCCATCCATTTTTCTGTTAGTTGACCAAAAAAATTTAATTTTGATCATATTTTTAATCAATTAAAAGGGGGCAAAATAAATATAATTCTTTACAAAATAAATTAGAGAAAAAAGAAAAGTAAGCTAGCTCATTACGAGTTGATTGGGCAAGCCAAGCAATTTTTTTGCGAAGCGAGCCAGTTCATGCTCCACTTGTCTCACTAACAAGCACGAGCTAGCTCACCAGATGGGTTGAGCAGTCCACTAACTAATGCACATGGGACCAAATGCACAAAATTATTACGATCTCCCAAATAAAATTTTGTTGAACACCAAATTTCCCAAATAATTGAAACTAGCAAGCAACTAGTATATAAATAGTTGAACAAACATTGTAACGGAATCAGAGTACTCATTTGAATTCAAATCCCGGATAGCGGTTAGTACGCTCCTTCCTCCCTCTCTCTCCTTTCTCTCTACGCATAAAACCCTAGCCATTTTACACACGCGAGTTTTCTCCAAGATCTAGTTGACTAATTTTAGTAACAAAAAACCAGGCAAAGATCATGACAGCGGCACCACAATCGACCGGACGGGAGCTGACAAGCCCTCCAACAGACGGCATATCAAATATCCGCTTCTCCAACCACAGCGACAATCTATTGGTTTCGTCTTGGGATAAGGTCACTTGATTTTTGTTTTTCTGGATTTTTCTTTTTTAGATCTTGATTTTGAATTTCTTTAGTGTTGTTTTGGGATATTTGATTGTATTTTGATGTGTGTTTGCTTGTCTGTTTATCAGAGTGTTCGATTGTACGATGCGAGTGCCAATGCACTGAGAGGAGAGTTCATGCACGGAGGTGCTGTGCTTGATTGCTGCTTCCATGACGATTCCTCAGGGTTCACTGCATGTGCTGACCACACTGTTAGAAGGTTATAGTTGTTAATAATGTCTCAAAGATGGAGCTGCTAATTTTATTTAAGAATCATTCTACTTTTTTTGTTTAATTTTTCAAATGCCAGCTCAGTTTAAGTGCTAATTTCGTTTAAAATCGTATTTACAGTTTCGAATTTAATTTACATTTTGGGATGATAAGTTATTATGAAGTCGATTTTGGCAAAATATGTACACTAGTTGTTTAATTCATCCGTCTTTGTGATCGATGATGAGGAGGTTGTTTGGGCGTGCCATTTTACTATGGATCATTGAATAATGTTGCTTTTTATGCTTCAGGCTGGTGTTCAATCAGGGCAGGGAGGATATTTTGGGAAGGCACGATGCACCAGTTCGATGCATTGAATACTCATATGCAACTGGTAGGTTTTCCAATTGATGAAACTGTTAAGGGTTACCTATGTGTATGATCCTCTGTTCTTCTGTTCATGCTGATTATCATTATTTATATTAAAAGAATTTTACAAGAAACAAAATACCAAATAAAGGAAATGCATTTGAGTGATTGAATTGGTGGGTGTTAGCATAATACAAACACAGTGTACACACTCAAAAAAAATGTACAACACATCTGGGATGTAACTCATGCTTGGGATATAAATTATACACGGATAACTGGGCATCTTCTTGATACATTTTTTCACTGCCCTCCAATTACTATAGCCTTTGTATATATTTCTCCCCACTTCACTTGTGAAAATAAAACAATTAACATATTTTGTGGAGGGGGAAGGGTAGTTAGCAAAATATACTCTGACAATGCAGCTATAGGTTTCTTAACTCAGGATTTTGGAACGTGTTAAGTTTTGATACTTGTGAAGTGCTCTTCAGTCACTGTAGAAAGTTCATCGCTTTTGCATAATTATAATTCTCAAATTAGTGTTCCTCCTTGAAGTTTATCATGATTGTTTGAAAATGCTGGTCACTTCTGTACATCTGTTATGATTTATCAGATGCATTTCCAACCTTTTTCTTAAAAGTAAACTTTCAATAACGAGGAATAGAATTAAGTAATTAACGCTAGGTAGTTCCTTCAGCTTCTTGTCAATATCATCTAGTGCTTGTTTGGTAGGGAATTTTTGGGGGAAGAATTGATTTTTGAATAGTGATATGATGGGAAATGTGTGGTTGAAAAAGAAGAAAAAATTATTGATGTGATGGAAAATATTATTTTATTGAAGAATGTGTAGTTGAAAATGAGAATTGATTTACTGTAGAATTTGAGAATAAAAAACAAACATGCCCCTATTATGAGACAATTTGGTTGTTTTCTTTATTATACATGGTAAATCTATCAATATACATACATCTTTGAGAGAAGATGGATGTTTCTTGAACATTGATGAATATACATAGCATGCTTCTTGGCAGCAGTATTAGCATGTTCTGTTTCACGCAGCATTTCTGTATCCTTCTCAACCTATTCATACATCATGTGACATCCATGAAAATTGATTCTAATATCATAAACTAATGTCTACTTGCCAGATTCTGCGGTGAATAGGTAATCATACTAGTTAATTTTTAGACAATTTACTACACGTCATATAATTCTAAGAAACTATCATTGCTCCTCTCAGTTGATAACAAAATTATGAATATCTTATATTTTTAATAAAATTGGTCTCGTATTTATGCAGACACACTCTTCTAGAATGATGATGTTTGTTCTATCTCTTAATTGTATCTGTATTTCATGATTTTAGGCCAAGTTATTACTGGTAGTTGGGACAAAACCCTCAAGTGTTGGGACCCCAGAGGTGCAAGTGGTCAGGAGCGTTCTCTTATTGGAACATACACACAACCAGAACGTGTTTATTCTCTGTCTCTTGTTGGCAATCGTTTGGTAGTAGCCACTGCTGGAAGACATGTAAATGTTTATGATCTTCGGAACATGAATCAACCTGAACAACGGAGGGAATCTTCATTGAAGTACCAAACTAGATGCGTGCGATGTTATCCCAATGGAACAGGTGCTTTTTCCTCATCTTACTATACTTTAGAGCTTGGCATGGTCTTTGCTTTATCTTCCCTTGCTTGGATGTTCCAGTCCAAAGTGCTTTGTGCTCTATTCTTATACTATCTTGGTTAATAGTTACTCACAATTTACGTTTCTTATTCAGAATTTCTGAGAGAATCTTGACTGTCACTAAAATTACTACGTTGAAGAGTTTTGTTCTCTGAATTATTTTGAACAACTAGAAGCGCCAAAATGCGCTGGTTGACATAGGACTATGATAGACAGTTAAGAATTTTCTGGACAAGAAATGGTTAGTACTAATTAAGAAGTAACTTTATTCAGGGAACAACTAATTACAGAACTAGTCGTCTTTAAGTTCTAATTTCACTAGAACTTATCTGGTTGCAATTTTCATTTGCAGGTTATGCTCTTAGTTCCGTGGAAGGACGGGTTGCAATGGAGTTTTTTGATCTCTCTGAGGCTGGTCAATCCAAAAAGTATGTATTTGCACCTTGTGCGAGTGTGCAGATTATAGTTATAAGATGTTTATTAGCTCCTGTTAGGTTTACTTTGCTGTGTTTTAGTTCTAAAATACAAGTCGTAGAAGTGCATGACATTAACTTCATATCTGGGATACTCTATTGCAGCAGTTATTTTTCATCCCATGACATTTTCTTCTCAGAATCACATGTTTCTGGAGTTTCCTGTAAAACATGCATTGGTCTGCCTATATCCTAGAATTTTCCAATGATTTTATAATTAAGGGAATGAGAGAGGTATTTCCTTATAGACATTTTCAAGTTTAGCCTACGTATGGCAACCAATTTATAAAGCATTTAATTTCAAACTCAAATTCATATGTACTACTCATTTATTATACACACATTTCGTAGGACCTACTACTATACATCTTACTATCGATTTATAAATTTGCCAAACGAAGGCTTAATGTCTTGCATAGAAAATTTGACTGCTGACCTATCAACTGGGAATAAATAAATTTTCTCCCCGAACCCAAAGATGAAGGTCATGTAAGTTAAAAAAAATATTCCGATATTTATGAACTGTTGCACTACTCTTTTGTCTGTGAAGCTAAACTACTTCCCCTTTTACTGATGGTCTTAATGTGCAGATATGCATTCAAATGTCATCGTAAATCAGAAGCTGGAAGGGATATTGTGTACCCAGTAAATTCTATTGCGTTTCATCCCATGTAAGTCTCCATATTGTGCTTGGGTATTTTGTTCCTAATACATTCAAGATTGCATTAAATGGGTGTCTCAGAAGCAAAAAAACGCAAAATCCTTTTTGCTGGAAAGTTAAAAATAATGCCAAAGTGCCGGTTGAAATAACACAGTACCATTCAATATGATATTTGTACAGCCAATGTTAGCCTCGAAAGCAAGGTAGCTAGTCTAATCATGAATGATTTATTAATAGCTAGCCAAAAAACTTTGCTAATCAATGTACTTTTATCTAAATTTGGTGTTATATAAATCCTGATCTGGCATGCTTGGAATGATTCCTCTTCAAAACAAGCTCTGTTTTATTGAATTTGTCTGGAGATCTCTCCAGGCTTGCAAAAGAGTTTGGCACTAAGCAAGTTCAATTATGTTGTCTGACATTATAGGTTTATGAGCATTTATTTTATTTCTTTTCGTTAGCCTATTTATGAATTTCTGCATGTGTAGCTATGGTACATTTGCTACCGGAGGTTGTGATGGTTATGTCAACGTGTGGGATGGGAACAACAAGAAGAGGTTGTATCAGGTAAATATTTTTTAGATCTGATTCTTGCTTTCGTCATCTCAAGTATGGAATTTAGAGGTTATCTCGTTTTTGTTTGCCTTGAAATCTTGCAGTACCCAAAGTACCCAACAAGCATTGCAGCTTTGTCATTTAGCAGAGATGGTAGATTGTTGGCCGTTGCATCCAGTTACACATATGAGGAGGGGGACAAACCGTAATATTGCCTCTCTCTCTCTCTCGGTGTTGTTATTTTCCATTGGACTTGGCATTTCGGTGGTGGTTATTTTCTATTGTTTGTTTGCAGCCATGAACCAGATGCGATATTTGTGCGCAGTGTGAATGAGGTTGAAGTTAAACCAAAACCGAAAGTGTTGCCCAATCCAGCAACATGAAAGGAAAATTTGCCAAGACTTGAGGCTTGTTCTGATCCAGCCATGGACTGGATGCGATATTTATGGAACATATATGTTAGTGTGAAGTGTGAAAATAACTGCAGTATGGTATAGTTTATGTCATTGTCTCTTTGATTCCTTTCTTGGACAAACTATTTCTGATCCTCCCGAGCGCACTTGATATTTAATCCTTGGTGGGATTTGTCGACAAGCTGTTGTTAATGTGATTTTCTGTAAGTGAGATTCGATGACATTAATAGAGGTATCAGCTATCACAAGAAGCTAGTCCAATAATTTAGTACACAAACTTTTCATGCTGCACTCTATATTCTTTAATAATAGTGATATTCATAGTCAACGACAATGGGAGTCATTTTATGTGATAGTTTGCACTTCAAATAATAAGCTACTATATAGGATGACTACTGCAATCGTTGATTATGAATAACATTACTCATTTTGTAATAAACTGTGATGTAATTCCCTTAGATTGAGTTTTTAAAAGTGTGCAAAAAGAAAAGATGATCATCTACTTCAAGAACTATTGATGTAAAAAACTCGTACTGCCTCAGGAAGACAATGCTGAAGAAATTCACTTAAAGCACAATTCCATTACAGCAACTGTTAAATGTGTACAAGCATCCAATCTTCTACATTCCCATTTGACATGTACATAAAAAAGTAAAACAAACTACTATTTTATGCTAACACAAGTTGGTAGAGACCAGCTCGGTTTGCATTATAATTGCAAACAAATATGGAAAACAGCAGTGAACGCATTCCGCAATACGGAGTATTACCAGGAGAGAGTCAATCATGTCTCCATATATTCAAGAGTCCCCAGACATACAGGTTTACCTGAACCCGGAGGGAGCTGCTTGTGGACCTACTGCTGCTCTCCTCATTGCTTTTGATTGAGCAAGCATCTCATCATAATTCTGACAGGTTGGATAGCGGTTGAATTTTAATATGGCGAAATGATGTGAGAAATAATAAACAGAGGAATTGGCAAAATATTTACCCGTTTTTCAAATGCATTATCTCTTGAATCAATGATCTTGTCAGCAATGCCATACTCAATTGCCTCCTTCGCCTGGAAATATTTTGGACGTTGGATGTCCTTCTCAATTTCTTCTTTTGGTTTCCCAATTCCCTTGGCTAACAGCTCGAGGTAATACTCTGTGTTGGCATCTAGTTCTTTGGCCTGATGGATGGTGAAAGATCAATAGAGCAATAAATAGAAAACGAAAGCATGCTTAAACACAAGTCTGCCCACAGAGACAGACAGAGAGAGACCTTAATCCACATATCTATGACAGCTCCGCTCGATCTGTTCACTTTTGGCAGATATAACTTAGCTGCAATTTACACGTTTAGAAAAAATGGGATAAGAAGCAAGTGCATCATGATTCCATATTTAGAATGCAACATTGCAGCACAGTAAATTAGGTATCATTATGCAACAGCCCTTTTCAATAATAAATTTTATACAAAAATATCAGGGTAGTCCACCAAAATTAAGATACTATGCCCCGTTTGATAGGGATTAAAATCCAGTAGATTAGGTATCATTATGCAACAGCCCTTTTCAATAATAAATTTTATACAAAAATATCAGGTTAGTCCACCAAAATTAAGATACTATGCCCTGTTTGATAGGGATTAAAATCTAGATTTTAATCTAAGATAAAATCAACAATTAATTTTAATTACATATTTCATGGAACTTAAAACTTTTCAACCACAAATTTTATTAACTTTTATCAAAATCTACTAAAAATTTGATTTTAATCCCCACTAAACATGGACATATAATTTAAACCCCTTAACGCAGAATTTCATATACTAAGCGCTTGTTTGTTTCCCATTTTTTGTTCCTAACTAGAAGAAATTGGACCGTCGCTTTCCATAAACCCATGTTTTTATTGCATTCATCTTACACTAACATGACATTTCACTATAGCATTATTGTTTTGCTCCACCTTCCCTACCCTGTCCTTCTCTCCAAGAACGCTACTTTTCACTACTCTCCTCACAATTGGACAAAAGAGTGGGCATAAAAGGAACTACAAAAATGACAATTGCAGGTATTCTAACCAATGACATAAATGGTGGGTGGGACCCAAGATGTGATGCAAAATGAATTCTACAATTTCAGAATGGGAACCAAACAAAGGCCAAATAATGAATATCACACAATCCATGAATTATAAATGGTAACACTGTTACTTCTAAATGACATCTACTCAAAGATAGATTCAGGCAGGCGGGTTCATCGATACAAGTGAGTTTTACTAGCCAAAGAAAAGTGCAAAAGTTTTTCCATAGGAAAAAATTAAGATAATTTTTTTTAAGAGAATCTTCCTTTCCTTGCCAAGTTTTTTTACCTGGATAATAACTTAGCTTCCGTAGAGCTTCATACATTAGTCAACAACCATCATGAACGCTAGTCCATGAGGTTCTATTAGGATACCCAAGACATATTAGATATATTACCAGGGTTGGTAGGCCTGAGTTTCCTTCCACCCATTTCAAGAAAGATAAGAAGAAAATGTATTTATAGCAATACTAGAACAGTTTGAATTGGAAAGTGCTAACAGAAAACTGGTACACTTTATAGATTATACAAAGCAAAATACTGTCTGGCCACCATTCCCTTGTGGCTACAGCGCTTGATGGTTTTCAAGAGTTCAACATGGATCATAAAATTTGGTGCTAAATTTAAGAAGGCACAGGTAATCAATCTGGTCCTTCTTCTTTCAAAAGCTTCATTCAAATGTTACAGGTGGTGGAAGAAAATAGCCACAATTTATTTGTTTGCACATTCATTCAGAGGAATTATGAAAGCATAGATGACAGACAGGCCTAAAAATTATTTAAAATGGAAAATAAACCATAAGAGGAATAAAAATATGGTAATCACATTCACACCACAGTTTTGGTTAACTACACATTTTATTTGTAATGAAAGCTCCCAATCTTTGCTCATTTTTGCACTTAAACTCTCAACTTTTTCGCCACCTTCTTATCATTAACTTCCAATTAATTAACAGATTTCTGTATGATAACAGTCTCTGTCCAAATATTCCATTGGCGTTCAATAGCTGTAAATATTTTATTGAATTTTTTGTATTTGTTGTTTTTCGTTATTTAAACAATAGGAGCAAATAATTTTTTTACATCATCCTAACATATTTTTTGGACGGAAACCAACAAGATTTGTTAATTAATAAAAGGATAAAAATGTGCTGAAAAAAGTTGGGGACTTGAGTAGGAAAATGAGAAATGTTAGGGAACTTCGTTGCAATAAAAATGTTGTGCAGTTAAATAAAGTATAATTATCCATAAAAATAAAGTATCGATAAGAATAGACCGGAGGCTTGTAACATATGGGTAACCCATTCCAAAACTTAATGATAAGCCATGGATGTCAAAATTAAGAGCACACTTTTGAATGTGAATCAGCAAATTTATTCCAACAAACAAGTATCACTCCTATTTCTTTGGATATTTTAATATAATATATGTAGCACGGAGCAAAGGTCCAAGAGGGACTAGAAATATTTTTCCCCTTAATCCGGAGTGTTGACTGATTTGATCTTCTTCGAGCAAATAGAAGCACTCAGGAAAACACTTCAGATAAGTGCATACCTTTCTAAAGGGACCAAGTTGCAGTGAATTCTCCATATGGATTTATCAGGAAAGATGTCCAAACTAAGTAGTTACCCCCTTGAAGATTTTTAAATGAATTTTATCATCAATATCAAAAGAAGATAAAAAGATCTCCATGAAGTGATTGGGATCCGATTCTTCTTTCCTTAAGATCTATAACTTCTCATCCGATGTGCAAGTGATCTGGCGTTAAGTAATTGTAGTTAAAGCTGCCTATTTCCCAATTTTAGCACTTCATAGTCTTCCGAACATTCCAAAGCCTAAATAAAGAACACTATCACGACTTCCATCTTCCGAATATTCAAATGGAAGCTCTAGCAGTCAGTATCTTTCCAATTGACACCACTAACAGGAAACATTTTTATCCATTATAAAGTTACAGAAATTTAGTCACCTATTGAATAAGATAAGGTGTGCAAGTAGGTTATATACAGGGGCAAGACATCCTTTGGATAAGGTGATGACTAGGTGAACACAATCCCCGACCCTTTCCTACTTCCGTTGGAAGATTCAATAATTAAGCCCAAACCTGGCAATCATCAGTGAACCTAAATAAACAAGTACATGAAGCTTTTGCCCCTCCTGCAGATTGGTCAAGATATGGATCCATAGCTATTTCAAACAAATCTACACACTGTTATACTATGCATATCCTGGCAACATGTATACATACATCCTTACAGGCAAAGCACTTTGTTTTTTTTTTTTTTCTGTGCTTGATATAAAACCTGTAATGTAGGATCCAATCATTAAGCATGAGTTGATGCAGGCATGCAGCAATGCATTATATGTATTCAGAAAGCTTTATTAACAGGGTGGTTGCACTTGAATAGTTGAATGTAAAACGAATCCATGCTGATATGCAAAGAATTGAATCTTACTGGATGAATTTGGCTGTAATGCACGATAACCTTTCGCTCCAAGTGATAGAAGCATTGCTGCTTGACCATATGCCATGCCACAATTTACTGTATAGATATCTGATTTGCAGTACTTTTGGCAGAAATTATTCAGAAGACAAAGTTAAAAGAAGGATTAGTTACGAGATAAACAGAAACCAGCAAGTGACTTGGCAAAGAGTTAAGCTACTCTTTATTTTACTTAAAAAAAGTGAAACTATGACATTTCTAGGCTTTGAAAAATGTTTGATCCTTAATTTTCTTTTCAGTTAATTATTTGATTTATAAAAAATGGGCAGGTTCTTACAGCCATGGTGTCAGCAATAGCATAGGCCTCAGTCTCAGACCCAACAGTCTCCATCTTCTCATTCTACGTGAAAGTACAGGGAAACAAAACAATAGAGATGGCTTTAGAAAAATCCAGGGAGAGAGATCAGGCTAAATTAATTTAATTGTTCTTAAAGTAGTGAAGACAGGAAAATAAAAGCTAAATTATGTTATATGATTCACCTGGGTGCCAGATGAGTTTATGTATAGATATATGGGCTTTGATGGGCTGTCATAATCCAACCACATAAACTGAGCGACAAGAAGCTCAGTTACGGCTGGTACAATCTGCGAATATTTAAGACAATCAATCAACATGACAGTAGAAATGAAAACATGAGTAGCCACTAACATTAAAGATATTAAATAAATAAATTGAAGTCTGCAAAGCAAGAGATAGAAAGCAATGTAATACTGGCATTCCAAGATAGACAATTCGAGCGTCTAGAAGCAAAGATGGCAAATCAGGAGGAGCGGTTCTGGGTCTTCCATATCCTCTAGCTCCTCCACGGTACATACTGACACTCATGCTATACTTTGAGGGGCCTCTTTCATTCGTGCCAGAAAGACTCCACATTCCACCATTATTTAAATAATTGCAGGATGATGAGATGCTTTCCTGTCATGGTAGCAAACGGTACAAGGACTTTGAGCTAAAAGTATTTTCAATAATAAACTTTAATTCAACTCACCCAAATGAAATGCCAGAAATAGGACATGAAAATGTTTTGTTATTTTTTATTTGTTCTTTTGGAGGGAGGGGGACAAACATCAGAATATAACACACAACCTTTCAAAATGATAGTCATCGAGAAGCTTATAAGCAGTTAAACATGAGAGGCATACCTCAGTGACTTTTTCTGCCTGCCGTCTGACAGGATTATCTTCTGTCATGAACATATCCATCTGTGAAGGAGTAAGGCCATAAAGATACTGAGGTGCATTTTTGTAGTTGTCCACCACTATAGAAGAGAAGATGGATCAGTTATAGCAATACAAACACAAGTTAAGTTAGAAGTCAAGCTCAAAAGGTACAACCATCAGACAACTTAAAATATATAAGAGGGAAAGATCATAAAATTTCAATATATTCCTTTTCCACAAGATTAGTAATCAAGAATCACATGGATTTTTATAGTTGTTTAAACATATTTAACTGTCAGAAGAAACAAACAATAAGCCACCTCCTGAAGGCCTTTCTTTAAGTTTCAGAATAAAATTATGGAGAGTCTCGTTGATTAAATAACTTAGCATCAATCATGCAGCTAAATTATAAGCAGGTGCACTTCTGTTCTTCTGCCTTGAGGTTTGTAGTCTATGGAAAATGAAAAGGCTCGTTCTTCTACCTTGAGCTTTGTTTATGATCTTGTAGTACGCCATTTTTAAAAAACTGCCACACATTATTGTCAAAAGACCTTAATCCACCTAACTCCATCCTCTCCCAGTAATCCTCCTAGGCACCTACAGCTATGAAAGAGCATTCTGCCCTTCCTCGACGGTCATCTAGTCAATTCTAAAGAATTAAAAAGAGAATTCCACAAAGACAAGAATGGGCTATGACTAAGTAATTAGAAAGACTAGAACAAGGAAAAAAACACTAGTAATTGATGGCTCTAGAGCCTCGTTGACATGCTGGACAGTAAAATACTTCTGCCACAATGAATTTGAAGATGGTTCATCATGCTCACAAAATACCTTTCAGCATCATAAAACAAGAATGGCACGCAATATTGGACACAACTATGCACTATGATGAACAAAAATTGTAATTTTTTTGTTCCATTATACTTTCCAATCCTGCCAAGACTGCATGCCACACACTCCCAAAACGCAGAAAAGCCCAGGTCAAAGAAGGCACAAGCCAATAACCCATAATGGTTTTCCGTAGTACTGTACTGTAAGATATATCAGTTAGGGGTTCCTCTTCATAAACTTCCAATCCAAAGCAACATGCCTTCTAAAAGTTCATTACTTCACATTAAGTTCCTACTTTTATAAGATTGGGTATTATTCTTGTTAGTGAAACAACATATCTACATGATTCCTTACACAATAAGTATATGACACATATACACCAACCCATATATATGCCCCAATTTGATCCCCATTTTCAGGGTAATATGTATTATGGAATAGTGACTTTTTGGAGAACGTGGTTAAAAAGAAAGGAATTTTTTTGAAATACGTGTATAATTGGTATAATGCGTGGTTGAAAATGATTTTGAAAAAAAAAATGTATTCTTGAAAAAATGGGGCTCAAACAGAATAAACGAGTGCTCGAACCTCAAAAAATTTAAAAAATGAAAACCCAAAAAACTATCTATCACTTGAAGCTTACACAAATTCCTAAGATGGCAAGACCCACAAACTGAAATTTAACAAGCCCTAGATCAAACAAAGCATAAAAACGGCGACGAACGAAAAACTTACATCCATCCTTAAGATTCTCTTCTCGGAACTGTTTGGGTATGTGGTCAAATGATTTCTGAGCTACTGGGGACTTAAACCCACATCTCCGAAAGGCAATTTTTCTGGGCTTAGCAGTGAATATGAGCTTTGGACTATGAAGAAATGAAGAAAAATTATAGCTACTCATTTCAATAGTCCCGGACGAGAGAGGCGAGAACAAAGAAGCAGCAGCCATGAGATTATGAAAGAGCTTTTACGGAGAACCAGATTATACAATAATGGAAAAGATTGAAGATTTGTCGATGGAGTGAAAGAAAGAAATAAGAGAGGTTGAAATTTTTTGAGGGGTTAAATTGAAAATATTGATAGTCACTGAACTTGTAGTGTTATTTCAGCATGACCACTCCATGTTTTTTTATTTCAAATTAGTCCTTAGTTTTTATTCATACGCTATCTACTCTGTTTATTTGCAAATTAAAGGAATTACTAATTTGAACAAAGAAAATGACCGTGCGGCTTTATAAATTAGTAAGGCGTTAATTTTATCGCTTACAATTATAGAAAGTTTAATACATGTTAACACGAATAGTTTAACTCATCGCTAGCTTGTAAGGGTATTAAAAATTGTTTTCGTCATTTCGCTAGGAATTTTTAAAAAAGTATTAAAATAGGTTTAGAAAACACATAAACGATCTTTCTTAAAGTCAAATATTACATTATTTCAAAAAGACTTTAGTCAATTTTGCTTAGTTGTAGTCGGTGCTCTATATTGGTGGCTGAGCGGTGATCAATGTGGTAACGGAACCTAATTGGGTAAGATAAAAATATTCACATCAAAATATGTGTAAAGTTGAACCTCTATTGTATCTTTATCAATGCTTTTCCACCAAGGCCCTGTTTGATTGACTGAAAAGTTCCATTGAAAATGGAAAAGAAATTTCAACTTCTACTTTACGCATGTTTGATACACTAAATTTTCTTGATTTTGGCTCACACGGTTCCAATTCCTTGTTTTTGATGAAAATCAATTCCCACCAATTTGGTGAGATTTGGTTTTTCAGTTTACTTTTTTTTTTTAAATTTTTTTGGCAATGAAAACAAATTTTATCCCCAATTGTAACAAATTTTATCCATTTAATGGACAAATTTCATGTAAAATAAAGCCAAACGAACACAAAAAGTCCAAAATTTTAATATTTTTCACGTGAAAAATTATACTAATCAAACACAATTAATTGACATTTCCCATGAAGCCCCTGTTTGACACCCATTTTTTCTCATTCTCATTCTCATTTTTTTTTCTCTTTCTTCATTTCAACCACACATTCTATCAATAAAATAATATTACACATAAACCCAAAAATTGTCATTACTTTTTAACCACACATTCTTCCATCAATCACTATTCCAGAATTTATTTTTTGTCAAAAATGGGTGTCAAACAGGGGCTATATACACATCAAAAATTCCAAAAAAATTGTTAAGATATAGAAAATTATGTACTCGTCAAAAAAATATACATTGTAGCAAAAAATAACTGATTTGAGGACAACCAATTTTNTCTACTCCGAATGTGAGGATTTGATTTTGGATTTATTCAATTAGGCCTAATATTTTTCTAAAAATAATATATTTATGAAACATCTTTTAACAATAAGGGTTTCAAAAATTTGGACGACATGATTAAAGCTGCTTATTATCATTGTGTATATAAGGTAACAATTTTCATTGAAAAATAAAAGTAGAAGGGTGCTTGAATTGAAGTAAAAATAAAACACTGATGATTGATTTCGAAGAAAGAAAAGTTTGATGACCAAAGTGAAATAGGGACTACATTTTTTTAAACCCATTTTTTGAGTGACCTGCAAACTGTAGTTTGGATCCGCATTCTTCTGGGCCACTTTACGTGGGCTTTACTTATGGGCTATACTTCATTTGGGCTTAATTAGATATGGGCCTCATTCTGAAGAAGTTCGAAAATGATTAGTCAAGTAAACTCCAATATCCAATCAGAAAGAGTAGCATAAGAAATTGGTGGATTGGGTGAACGGTCGAGATTGGTCTTACTTAGGTGACAGTAAATGAACTGGAAACTCACAATCAGCACTAAAATTGGCCATACAACGTTTATATCACTCTTTAGTCTTATCGCTATTGTGACTTTTTTTTTTTTGCCACGGCTGAGAACGACTTTTATCTGAGTTATTCGTTTTTTTATAGCTTTTATTTGCTGGCTACTCGACCAAGTCGAGCAATTGGAGGTTAGTATTTTCGGAGCATCGTGTGAAAGTTTTAGTGCAATTTCGATAGTTTGAAATGAAACGAATTGAGTTAACTCATGAGCCCTAACTCTCATGGCTCCTATATGAGCTCAGGCTTTTGGGCCCATGAGCTGGGCCTGGATCGTTGCCCAAAAGTGGGACTCGGTTCGGCAGCTTTCCACGAGCAAAGTCGGCCTAACTCACGAGTCTATAGGCTTTTTTAATTTAAATCTTTAAATCATTGAAAAATATGAGAGAAAATTCTTACAATAAATACGGCAAATGCATTGCTTGTATGAAAAATTACAAATGCAGTTACAAAAAATTGGAAATTAAAAATACTACGATAAATTTAAGCCTCAAGTTGGCTAGCCGGCCTGTGGGCTCTCCAAACGAACTAACTCGTCAAGAGTAGGCACATGGACTTGACTCAGTCCACTTGGTGAAAATATGAGCTCTGTATGGGTCCCGGCTCATTTAGAAACAAGCAACGAGCTTTTATAAGCCTGCCGAAGTCGTCCCACTTTTATTGGATATATCAGTTAAGATGATTTTGTCCAATTTCACTATCAATCAATTAATGATGGTTATGACACATAACTGTTAGTTGCTAATGTGAAATAAGTACAATTTCCTTGAAATAACTAACAACCTTCATTTATTGACTGATGTTCCATCAATTACACGAAGTTTCCTGATTAAAATCAAATAAAATGTAGTTACTCGATTGAACCAGAGCTAATAGTTATTGCGAATGGAATTTACTCATTAATCCACATATCGTTAAGCTTTCAAAATGGATTGAAAATGCATTTAGTCACTCAAGATATATTAAACTTTCATGTTAGTCATCAAATTATTTTATTTGATACATATTTGTTGGTTCTTCAAATGCACTGTCTTACATGGCTTCAACATGTAGGTCTTTCACAAGACATTTAATTAGAGATGACTAAATTATTGACTTGTCCTCAAATGATAGTTTAATGATTTCTAAAAAATTATAAATTTTAATGAATTTCATGAATTTGAATAGATTTCCATAAAATTTTCATTAAAAATGCTGAAATTTTTAAAAGAGTTTGTTATGTGTATTTTAGAGCTTAAAATTCATCTAATACTTTTGAAATCCCTTTATTAATGAATCCTTATAAATCCACGAATAATTGAGAATACCTAAATTTTATGGATTTCCTTAAGGGGAAATTAGGCCAACTACCTCAAAAAATTTAAATATTAGATTAATACTCTAAAACTAATTGAAACTATTATTACCGTATTGATTACTTCCAAAACATCAAAACTGAAACACACCCAAAATAGAAATCCCAAATCAGTAGGTGAATCTCCGAAGAGAAAAGTCCCAAGACCCGAGACCTTCCCCAACTCCTCAAGAACGGTGATTTCCTCTTCGAGAAACCTCATCCGACTCAAATCCCCAATCCATCTCCATCGTCTCCTCTTCAACTCTCAACCACAGATTTCGAATGTGTTGGTATAGTATCTTGGGCATTTTTATGGAGTTATATTTTTTAGGAATTTGCTTTATTTTTTTATATTTCAGGGTCTATGATATCGAAGATTGAACAATGAATTGCTTGGGAGAAATAAATTTACTTGGGTAAATTTTGTGTAATTGAAGCGGATGTATTTCTTTGTTTTTAAACTAGCTATTTTAGTGATATGAATTTGATGGAATTAAACTGTTATTAGCATTTGGATTTGAATATAGCTTTAAATTAATTTGAATTGACGTGTCTGTGTTCCATATCATCATTTGATGAAATTATTCTTGATTTTGAACTTCAAATATTGGATTTTTAATCTGCTGAACATGGTGTCCCAGCTTGTTGGCCAACATAAATTGGAGGAATCATATTTACTCGTGGAAGATAGGGATAAGATTATTGGTGGGAGTGACGGACAAAAACTTACTTCATGGGGATTTATGTTATAAAGTCCAGCTCCTAGTGGCCAGACCTTTGTGGTGGGATTTGGTAAAGACTTGATAAATGATAGACTTTGTAATGTTCAACAATCAAAACTCCAAATCATTCTCGTTGTCGGGATGGTTGAGCAATAGCAGTGAGTTGTTTGAATGCTTGGCGTTTTGATTGGTGTTTTTTTGATGGATTAATTTAAAGATGCTTGGTGGTGAACGGAGAAGAGGATGGATGGTGGTTGTGTTACTTTTTTTAATCTCACACTTCGAATTGATTTCAATGTTTTAATTTATGTTTTATCACTTTTTTTATTTTTATTTTTGATTTTGATTTTTAAGTGTTTGTCGTCTCTTTTTTGAATTTTTATTATTTTTTTGAGTGTTTGTCACTTTTTTTAAGTTATGATTCTTTCCTATAATGATTTTGCTGTGGATCATATTGTGGGTACAGAGATTGGGGGTTCAACATTTGATAGATTTGTTTCCTAGTTCTGATATTGTTCATCAACTGCAGCTGGAACCTTATCACAAACAGAAAGATAAAGCAATCCTAACTTTTGATATTTTTCTGACAAAATCCAAGGCGAAATATGATGCACAATGTCACAATAAGAATTGTCACTTTTTTTTGAATGTGTGCAACTTTTTTAATGTGTTATTTTTTTAAATTCGTCACTTTTTTTAGTGTTTGTCACTTTTTTCAGTCGTTTTCTTAAAATTTCAATCACTTTTTAGTAACAAACATCATTTTTTAATAAAAGTGAGATTGTAAAAAATGACACTAAATTTTTAAAGCGACATTGTGTCACTTTTTTTTAAAAAAAAGTGATAATTTTATCATTTTTTTGTGTGTTTGTAACTTTTTTGAGCGTTTGTCACTTTTTTTTGTCACTTTTCTAAATTTTTTTTCACTTTTTATTGTTTGTTACTTTTTAAAAATTTATATAGTGACATTGTGTCATTTTTTTATTTTACACAATATTTTTTACTTCCTAAAGACCTTTCATATGGTTTTTCAAAACACCCCTAATT